ACCAAGAATGTACGAAACACTTGATAAAATGATTTGATAACGATTGGTAATCATTGGCAACTTACTGCTATGATTTTAATAATCTTACTAATAACCACTGACAACTTACTGTTATGATTAATAAACAGTATTGAATAACAAATGAACAAATAATGAATACAAATGATAATTAGTAATAATTATTATCATACCAGTGACAAATTAACTAACAATTGTGATAGCAAATGAAACAACTCACCTACCAGTATATCTCTTCCCAACCTTACTGAGCAGTACAAACAACCAACAAATGTTTACTCTCTTTTCATTTAAATCTTCTCAATCTTTGCTGTTATTATGGTCGAGATCACTCTCTGCTCTTCTTATCATACTCTTTTTTGCTTCGTTGTAGCATGATACTTCACAATTACTTCCCACCAATCTTTGTCGTCTCTTTTATTACTAACCCACCTCACTGCTACCAATGCCTACTAGTCTTCTAGATACTTAACTGCCCGCTATTGCCCGAATTCTTCGCAACTACCCCATCTCTCGCCCACTATACCGATCAACTGCTTTTTATCTTTATAATGTCATGTTGATAGAATTTCTCCTGCTTCTGCAACGATGATGACGTTGACCACAACAATCAAGCCACTCAGTGAAAAAAAAGCAGTCATACAATTCGTTTCCGCTGCACAAATTTTTGGCCCAAAAAAACATTTGAGTTTGAAATAGTTGCAAAAAAACCGAACTTTCAGAAATCTAAAGTTAAGTTTGATTCAGAATCACCCGGTCTCAATAATTACAAATCTACATCGGATACTATAAATTTACATTTTCGATAAACTATTTAAGTTAATCTATTAAATTTTACTTGTAGACTAAATCAATTTTCATTTGACTTAATAGCCAGTAAACTCGTTCTTACCTATAAAAATAATGCTAGCATTATTTTTATAGCTTATATGAAGTTCCGGGAAGTATTTGTGAATTTCTTTTGTAGCCACTTCTTATGTCTCTTGCTAGAGACTATCAAAGTATCTGTAAAGAGTTGGAGCTATGATAAGGAATAATTAAGTCATATGAAGGGAAACAAAATGATGCAATAATTGATTCAACAGTATAGTGTGTGAAAGGACGTAGAAGTGCGCATGGAGAAACTTCAATTTTTAAGAAATCTCCTCCAGAAAGTTTATCTCTAATAATGTTCTCAGACTAATAAGATTTGAAATTCAAGCAGGATTTCAATTATTTTTGACTTGAATTATACGAAATCAATAATGAACCCTATTTGAAAGCCTATGATACATTATTGCATTCTGAGAATCGATTGGAAACGAAATAGCACGATGTTCAAGAATAGAATTATGAAGATGGACCAATATAAGGGAGAGGTTTTTTCCTGAAAAAAAAATTGAAAAAAAAATTTCGATCAGTTAAACCAATCACTATGATTATTGAAATGTTCCTTCTACTATAATTTAGAACTAAATATGGCTTAACAAAAGGTACTATTAAATTGAGCTTGACTGCAAGATATTTTCTCATATTTCAACTAATACTTTTATACATCATTACTATGATGCAATCAATATTATTCAAAAATAATCATGCGTCAAGCACACCCTTAACGCAAAATCAATCTATCTAAGATTAATTAAAGCCTGAGAAAGTCCCAGATCTATAAAATATATAAATAATATAGGAAAACAAACAAAGGGGAAAAAATGGAAATAATATGGCCTGCTAAAGACAATTGCTTCTTGATGTAACATCAAACAGTTTGTCAATCCAAGTTCCGTTCATTAATCAGAGATTAGTTTCGCTGAAAGAAAAAAGAGATCAATTCCCTAAAATTATACTTACAACAATTGATAACGACAGCGATCGAATATCAATGGATGAGCTAAATGAAATGAATTGACGACCGGAAGTTTGATTTTCATTGATACGTAGTGGATTGTAGCAAATGAAGGTAATGTTTTTCACGGGAAATATACCCTATTATCCAGAGTGAAATAAAAATAGTAATTTAACGGAAGATTACAATAAAATAATCAGAAACTAAATATTAACAAAATTGGATACAATTTAATAGATGGATAATGCTTGGTAGCCAAATAGCAAATGAATATTTTAAATTAATATTTGAAAATATTTCCACTTTCATCAAAGAACGAATTCAATAGCTTTGTCATGCGTCAACCAAAAAAATTTCATAAAAGCCACAAGCATGATAGCAGAAATTTCATAGTCATGATATTATGAGAATGATTTTTAAATACGATATCTCGTAATCATGATACCTTGAGATTATTTTGATTATGACTTACACAATCATGAAATATGAGAATGATCTTTAATTATGATATTTTAGGGTTAGAACAAACTGGCATTGTTTTTAGTTAGGAAGAGATATTGCACAAAAGCGAAAATTTCGACAGCTTCATAAACATAACTATTAGAAGATGAAAACCATAATTTTTAGATAAGAAAACACCTTGAAAATTGAATTTTAGCTAATCTGAATAAAAGAGGAAACAATAATACAAAATATAAATTTTAATTCACTATATACAATTTTAAACAAAATGGAAGATCAAAATTTCTAAGTGTGGTTGACGGCACAAAAATAGGTGATGATTTCCTAATAACTATAACAAAACAATCCAAAAAGAATAATACTAAATCGATTTCTCGGTTATTCTTGAGGGACTCAAGATAAAAAAAAAAATTGGTTTGAAATTCCCATTTGATGATCAAATAAATTTGATTTTTGGCTAATATGAATTGGCATGGGAGACAATAATATAAAATTTAATTCATTATATGCAACTTTAAAAAAAAATAATATTTCAGATACGTGATAGTTGTTTATACCAATCAAATCATTATTTCATTCAAATTTATTGAAAACTAAAATAAAAAATGAAGAGAAATTTTCAAAAATCTACGGAGTATGAAGGAAATTTTTGCAACGTAATTTATTTTAAGTGCTGTGAATTTCTTAAATTTACATTTTTATAAAAGTCTTTAGTTTCTAATTTCCGAGAAAATTTGCTGTTCTCAGCTGTCCCTTCTAAAATGGCATTTTTTTTCACCACAAATTTGAAACAAATTAATTTATATACAAACTTCATCATATACTGGCAAGTGATGTAAGTCGGATTTAACGTTAAACATCGGATGAAAACAAAAACGCTGCAGCTGGACAAAATGTGAGACTTGAAAATTGTAAATCGATGAAATTAGTTTCTCTTCCTTCTTTTTTTCTTTTCCTTTCCATTCTTCTTTCTCTTTCTGTCTCGCACCGATAACCAATTAAAATTATCTTACATTAAAAAAAAAGGAAGAAAAGAAAAATTCGAAAAATTATTCTTTACCTATCAATCATCTTTCATTGAAATATTGGATGGAATGTATAAAAGTACTAATTATGATATATTTATGCCTTCATAAATTATAAATTTCCTGCAATCATGATATCAAATTTCAGATGCAAGTGTCACACATTAATTAAATGATCAAATTTATGAAAATATTCGCTTTTGGTTACAAAAGCTTTTGATATTTCAAATATTATTCAAAACATTATGTAAAAATAATTCATTCACCATTTTCTGATAAGTTTTTCCATATAATATGAAAAAAGTTAAAAATTTATGAATGTTTTTATCAAATTAAAAAATTCCATTTTAATAAATATTGTAATCTCATATATCAAATGAATGGGTTATTCGAGTGGATGAAATAACAAAGTCGGTAAGTATTTGAAAAAGTGAAAATTACAAAGATATTTGCATCCTAGATAATTGTTTTCTGGAAAAAATTAGTTCATTTTATAATGGAATCGCGGCAACTTGAGAAGTAGCTTACAGCTATGAGAACTCTTTCCTATTCCCAACCATGATATATCATCAAGGTAGAATCTTTAGATAAATATCCATAAATTTAATCAAATCTGAATTGATCAATTGCTGCAGAGTGACATTTAAAGTGAGATTCTCCCCCAAGATCTCCCGGAAGTTTAACAGTCTTAGCAAAGGATCACTACTGAGATAAAAACAAAAAACATTAGAGACCAACCAATACTTTGAAATCCTCACTAAAAATGGATGTCACGCTGCAATAGCTGCTGAAAAACTTGAAGTACTTGTTCGATGTTGGTTGTTTCTCATTGGACGTGGAAATTGTTATCATCCGAGATTTCTCGGCAAATTTACGGTTTTTCCTGTGGGTTCTTGGTTAAAGTCTACTTGTAGTTCATTATCAAATAGTGAGGAATATAAAGTCTTATTGAAAATGATCGTTTATATGGATCAAGCATCAAAGTAGCCTCATGTAAATGTGAAACAAATTGTGATTTTAATTGTCGTGAATTAAAAGTTTCGAATTCCATTAAAAAAAAATTGTTGTCATGCGAAAAGACTTGAAATTTTATTGTCTTCATTTTTAAAGAAGAAAGTTCGCACTTTATTACTTTCCTGTATTGTTGCTAATGTATACATATTATCTTTTAGCGTGGTTCACGTGAAATTTTGGTTCACATCAAAGCTTACATCGCACTCACATATTGTTTCGCTTATTTCCCATAAAATGAAGTGAAGTCCTTTTTGTTTGGTACTTGGAACTTGGGATAATATGATTTGGAGATTTTTTAAGTGGGATAGTACGGTTTTGCTACATTTCATAGACATAAATTAAGATTCCGGCACCAACAACTGTTGCAGTATGTTTAACAAATGGTTAATTTGGTGTTTTCATTCTTTAAATTAAAGATGGAATGTATATAGTAGTACCGCTAGATTAACTTCAGTAATATTACCATATTCTCTTTTTGCCTGTATTTTTCTTCTTGATTAGATGTGAGAAAGAGATATCAATTATTATATGAGTTTTATGTAGCTGTCGCTAAAGAAAAAATCAGATTGTTGAGAAATTTTGTTTTAATTCGTATTTGCTCCCTTTCCAGTCATCAGTGTTATTTAAATTATTGAAGCATTTTTAGTGTTTCACGGATGAATCGATCGACACCATCAAGGAGCACTCCAAATGGTGGCGGTAGTGGCAGTGGTGGTCCATCGGGCAACAAAATGCGAATTCGAGCTTTTCCGGTACTGTGGAGGATTATTTTTTCTACAGTTCCGTAGATTTTATTGAGAATTTCCGTATTTGGAAAATGTAGATAAAACTAGGCTTATTTGTTCAATGAAAGAATTTACACTGAGTTATTCACCGGTTTACCCAAATGTTTGTTTTTTTTTTCTAAATAAGCTAAAAAGGATTAATGCTTTATTTATGCTTTGTTCTACTGGACTGTCTTACTCCTTAGCTTCTATGGTTTTTACCGAAAATTTCTTTATATTGGAAAAATGTGCGTAATCCAGTAAACAAAGTATTCAACATTATGTCAAAAAAAAGAAAGAGAACCAAAAAGCATTTATTTAATTCAGTGTATTTATTGACTTTATTCTTATGTTGGTATTATAGTTTTCTCGTGCGGTTGTTCAAGGAATTTGACTCATAAAACTTGGCTTATTCAAAATGCATTCACAGTTTAATTCTATTAGGAAACTTCTTGACGAATTAATCACCCATGATGACCGTGTTACATTATGTCACAGACAGCAGCTAACGGTGCTTAAACTACTATGAGCTCACAAATTCAGATCAGAGATAGAATGTTGCTTTCTTCCATATCATTAGCTGAAGTGTTATTTAAGTGATTTCTAATATTAGATGAGATAAAAGATGAAGAATAGCTATGTCATAGTTTTACAGTTAGTTAATGAATTTCTCAAGAAATCTAATTTTTACTTTATATATACATGGTATTTACATTAGTTATCTACATGTGTTCTCAAGTATTTGATGGATTTTATTCGATGTGTTACGTTTATCTTATAGGCTTCTTAAACTGTTACTTTCAGCTTATCTTTGGAATATTAAAACTAGAAGGTAGAAGGATTCACTTTTGTTGGATAGGAAGAAATGAAAGAATAGAATTAGAATTGAACCGGGATTGTTTTGCTGAGCATTTGGTCATTGTTTCAAAAATTAGATTGAAGAACTTGGATACTATTTCCTCTAGCCATGATTTTTGCAGACAACAATGGATGAAAAATATGTACAACAGACATGGGATTTATTAAAACGCGCTATTCAAGAAATTCAACGAAAAAATAATTCTGGTCTCAGTTTTGAGGAGCTTTACCGTAATGCCTACACGATGGTGCTGCATAAGCATGGTGACAAACTTTATTCTGGTTTAAAACAAGTCGTTATTGAACATCTGCAAACAACGGTTTGACTTCTTGATCTGTTATGAAATTTTGAATTACTTAAATTGAATTGAAAACACTGGTGAGATTTCATTTGTAATTCCATGAATAAAATTTCAGTTCTATTTACGCTATAGATTTGTTAAATTGTGTTTGCTAATTTACGGAATACCTTTCCAGATTGTTCAGTTTTGTATTAACTTAGATATTTCTGATCTTGTGGAAAGTTTTTTTTTTTTTTCTTTACCATTGTTTCGTATACTGCTGTTTACCTTTTTTTTTATAGGTTAGAAACGAAGTGCTAGCAGCAATTAATAGCAGTTTTCTGGAAGTGTTGAATGTAGCATGGCAAGATCACATTATAGCTATGGTCATGATTAGGGATATTCTCATGTGAGTTGTTTTCAGCATTTGATTAAGATCATTTCATTTTAACTAAAAATCCTAAAATATGTTTCGAAGACGTTTGACATATGTGCTTTGTTAAAACTCCAATGTTAAGAAGAAAAGTGTTGTTAAGATAATGGGAGAAAAAGCAGTTTATTTTGCAATACATGATTTAAATTTAAATTTAACTTTAAATTTAAATTTAAGCTGACCGATTCCAGGTATATGGATCGAGTTTATGTGCAGCAACAAAATGTTGATCCTGTTTACAACTTGGGTCTTATTCTGTTTCGCGATGAAATAATTAGATATGGGACACTAGGCGACACTCTGCGTAACATATTGTTGAAAATGATTGCTGCTGAGCGGGGAGGGGAAATCATTAATAGGTATTTTCTTCTTCTGTGGTCTTGAATTTGATTTACATATAGTCGGTCACATATCCATGGAATGCGACAACGTGAAGCCTACACAAATATTGTTCATATATTTTACATTTTTCCAAACAGTCATTATTTCAAAATTCGTAATGTTGAAATGAGCGAGGTGATTAGAAATCAGTGGAATTAAGTTAATCAGTAATACTTCTGCAGAATTGGAGTGAAAAATGCATGCAATATGTTGGTAGCATTGGGCGTCGATTCACGGCGCGTTTATGAAGAAGAATTTGAGGAACCATTTTTACGTGTCTCAGCAGAATATTATCGTGCAGAAAGTCAAAATTTTTTGCTCGAAAACTGCGCATCCGTTTATGTTAAAAAAGTGGAAGAATGCTTAATGGAGGAGTCAAATCGAGCAAAAATTTATTTGGATAAAGGAACAGAACAGAAAATACTTGACGTATGTAGATGACTGGTATTTTTTAAACTAAAAGCAGTGTGAACTGTATCGTACTGGTATTCAAGGTTATAACTTAGAACAAAGAAAATTTTCTTACGCCGTATTCCTTTTCTGAATTAGAAAATGAGGAAATAACTCTTACAAGTCAGTTTTATAAGCAAATAGTTCCTCTTTGAAATGTGAGAAACTTTACTTATTTAAAGGTTTTGGACGAAGAGCTAATTAATAAGCATATGATGACAATTGTGGAAATGGACAATAGTGGTGTTGTACATATGCTGAATAATGATCGAATTCATGGTAACAGAGTTATTTTAGTCTTTTTTTCTTGCCTTATTAAAAGCTCATTTCGGCTGGTTAGAAGTACTGAATTCAGACATGCATCTCTATTTTTTGTTTTTCATTGCATGTGATATATTGGTTTTTTGATATTAAAAAACAGTCATCGGATATTACTGTGTATATATTTTTTTAAAGATTGAAGGAATATAATTTTGTTTTAGATTTACGTCGATTGTATATTCTTCTTAAACGAGTAAAGAAAGGATTACCAACGATGACTGATTGCATTAGCAGATATCTTCGGAGAAAGGGTGAATTTTTAGTCAATGAAAGTAGTGACCACGAACCTGGTACGTCGAAAAACCCGATTCATTACATTCAGGTAAGCACTTCACGTGGTATATTTAATTGTAACCATCCTGTAGTCTTTTTTTTTTTTTGATTTTAAATATCATTTAGTACTCTCTTTACTTCTTTGAGAATTCAAAAAATATGAATTTTTTTAGGCATTACTGGATCTCAAGAATCAGTTTGATCATTTCTTGTTGGATGCTTTCGATAACGACAAAACCTTCAAACAAAAAATACAGAGCGACTTTGAATATTTCCTCAACCTGAACCCAAAAAGTCCAGAATATCTATCATTGTACATGGACGATAAATTGAAGAAGGGAATGAAACTTGTATGTCCCTTTTTCTCTTAAAATTCATGAGGAAAACCAAGTATTTTGCTTGTTTCATTTGAGCAGAGTGCTTTTATTGAATCATCCAATAGAGATAACAAAGACGCATATTCATTGATTTTTCACCTTGAATTACATTTTACTTAAAAATATATAGCAGACATAGGGAATAATTTTCATTTCTAAATGAGCTGGTCGTTTTAAAATTTAGATGAATGAAAGTGAGCAAGAATCACTTCAAGACAAATCGATGGTGTTGTTTCGTTTTCTCCAAGAAAAGGACGTTTTTGAACGGTAAAGAAAGTTAATTTCCTTGAGAATACTGCTGTAATTTGTTTTCTTCTGATTCAAAAATAGTATTTATTTCATTTGTTGGTTTGACTGCTATACTGGTATGCAGTTAGAAAGCGCCATTCACGAAATAAGAATATGGGATTGTACGTTTTCATCTTTTTTTTTTCAGTTATTACAAGTCACATTTAGCCAAGCGTTTGTTGCTTCAAAAGAGTATGTCAGATGATGCAGAAAAAGCTATGGTTTCGAAATTAAAGGTACGAAAATTGCACCAAAAATGAATTGCTGAGTGGTCTTTTCATTGCTGTTTTTTTTAGTTGAACAATTAATTTATATTTATTTAATTACAAAAATTATTTTTTCAATTTTCTTAGTTGAAGGATTAATTTATACTCTGGAAGTTATAAATGATTCGAGTCTTAGATTCTCACTCAGACTGGTAATTGATTTTGATAGTGTAATTTTTCTTACATAAATAATGCAATTTTTAAACAATATCTTCAAATCATTTTTTTTTCTTTTGCTGGAAATATTCTTTATTTATCATTCTGTAGCAAATAGGTGTTTTTTAAGACGGAATGTGGCTGTCAGTTTACATCGAAATTAGAAGGAATGTTCAAAGATATCGAGTTATCGAATATTCTGATGGGAGATTTTCGTGACTACAAGGAAAGAGCAGAAATTGTAAGTTTCTTTGTGGTATTCTTTGTCGACACTATCTTATTGGAATTATGACTAATTAACTCTTTCATGTGTTAGGCACACGACTCAGTGGATATAACGGTGCGTGTGTTGACAAGTGGTTATTGGCCGACACAAGCTGCTCCGGATTGTGTATTACCACCAGTGGCAGCTCAGGCTTTTGAGAGTTTTAGGACATTCTATCTTAGCAAACACAACGGTCGTAAGATTTCACTAAATCCTATGCTTGGTCACGCTGATGTTAAAGCTGTTTTCTACGGAACAAATGCTAATGCGGAGGAATTAAGCCAGCAAGTAATAGATTACGTAACTTTTTCATAGCGAAAATAAAAATAAATTTATGCTATCAGGGTTTTACTAATCGAAAAAACTCTTCTAGGATAAAGCTAAATAAAAATTTATTTTCATTATTGACTCATTACTACTGTTTTTTCCTTTTCTCTTTTTCTATGAATAATTTTTGCATGAAAATATATCTTTTGCATCAGCATTTTCTGGTAATTTGTTTTCAGGAATCGGATCTTGCCGGACCATCAGTTGCCCCTCGTGGCAAAGAGGAATACAAAATTTTGACTGTGAGCACATATCAAATGTGTGTTTTGCTCAGGTTTAATAATAAATCTAAAATAACTTTCGAGGTAGGCATTATCAACAACAGGATATGTCATATATATCATTTAAATTCAAAGTACTTCATATGTGTCTTCTGTATATCATTTAAATTCTAAATTTATGCTAAGACTGCTCAAGTTCAAATGTTTAAATGTCATTTGAAATGTTTAGCTAATTTTTTGGTATATATTCTGCTGTAATCTAGTATACATGTAGCGCATGGGAGTGTGAAAATCATCTTTCCAATACCCAAATATGTTCACTATTTAATTGCCTACTTTTAGAATATTATTCAGTTTAATTGTAATCTTCCCGCATTTGTATGCCAAGCACCTAAGAAGGATGGAATTTCTTATGCGTCTTATACATTATTTCCTTTGTTCAGAAACCATTTTTTAAGTCATTTTTGTATCCGTTCTATCATTGTGCTTTTGCATTAAGCAACTTTAAGGAATTGGCAGCTGAGACTCAAATTCCTGACAAGGAATTAAAGCGATCATTGCTTTCTTTGGCAATGGGCAAACCTACTCAAAGAATTTTATGCCGAAAAGGACATGGAAGGGAAATCGGTTAGCTTTAAAATCTTTTAATTCCTGCTACGACCCGTCCATCATTTTAGCGTGCAACTGTAGTACTAAAAACTACTGTATATAAGTAACAACATCGACAGGGATTATATATTTAGAATCTGATCAACATTTCAATTCATGTTTCATTGATAACACCGGTCATCAAACACAGAATATTAAACATTTATCATCCCACAAATTAGCAGCATCGTTTTTTTTAAATTATAAATAAATGATTATGCATACTTTTAGAAAACAGTGATGAATTTTGGGTAAACGATGCATTTACCTCCAAGCTTACAAGAATAAAAATTCAAATGGTGTCAGGTCGAGCGGAAGCTGAACCAGAAAGAAAAGAAACACGCTCAAGAGTGACTGATTGTTTATTTCTTTGTTCTTATGTTTATTTTATTGGAAAGTGCTAGTGATCAAGTATGACAATTTCGATTTTGCTAAAAAAATGAATTAATAATTGTTAGCAACAGCTATTAATTTAATTCTGAAGCAGGATGTTTTTTAATGGCGATAGCTTTTTAGATAGATGAAGATAGAAAACATGAGGTTGAAGCAGCTGTCGTGCGAGTAATGAAGGCGAGGAAGAAGTTATTGCATAATGTTTTGGTTGCAGAAGTTCGTTATTATCTTTTGACCCTTTTTGTTTTGCGTCTTTTTTTATGGCAGATCCGGTTTTTCATGTGGCCTTTCCCGACAATGACAGCTCTCTGACTGTTGATTTTTCAGTTTCTTATGCGGGTTTTTCTTTTTGAGCACATTGCTATGATCCGTTTAATGTATGGTTTTATGGTTTTGATGTGAGATGATTTTCGGTAATTTTCATCAGTTGCCCGTGATTAAATGTTAATTTTGCGTATTGATGCTTCCCTATTTCCTTGCATGTGTGGCTTCAAAATCTATAGTTTATATCGTAACTATTTCAGATTAAAAAATCTTTGAGTTTTGGTCGAATTAATTTTTTTTTTTTTAACTTTAACTTATCAAATTTTAGGTAACTCAACAGCTAAAGCATCGTTTTATGCCGAATCCACAGCTAATTAAAAAACGAATCGAATCGCTAATTGAGCGTGACTATCTGGCTCGTGACAAAAACGATCATCGTTGCTATGAATATGTCGCATAATTTCAAGCGATTGTTTCTGATGTATTTATTTTGCATGACTTCTTCGATCTTTGTTTAGCCTTTTGATGATGATTTTGTCACATGAAATTTGGTTGAAATTAAAAGAGAAGGTTGTACAAATGTTGGACAAAAGCTTGAAAATATTTGATTTATTTGATAGCTGGTATGGGAAAGGAATTTTTTTTTTTTTTTTTTTGGGGGGGGTTATTGGCTAGGTTTTTTTTTGATTGAGAGAATGATAATTTTGAAATAAGTTTAAAATTTTTTGTATTACAACAAATCCGACGTTGATATTTTTACTTTTTATTCATTATAAATAATTAAAATTCCACTTGAAGGGTCATCACTATCTTTGGCTTTCACAAAACAGCGCTTTAATTGATAAGTATATCAAACTAGACAATTGGGTATCACGCTGTTAAAATTTATTGTTCTACTTTATTGTTCTGCCGAAGTTAATGATTCATATGAATCATTAATAACTGCAATTAGAAATATGTTGAAGAAGATATTGTCAAATGGAATGATATAGGGTTTTTCATATATCACATCACTGTTTATTGTTCCCAATAGGATTTATCCTTTGCATCATTATTCGTTGTTTGCAGTAATCTGCTTCACAACATAGCGTCTGTTCTGATCCTCCCACAATTTGTTAGGCTTATTGCGAAATTTGTTACATTTATTTTCAGGCATAAAACGAAGTACCGAAATACTACGTAACACATTCTGTCATAATGTTTTTGTTTTTCTGATCAAAAGGATGAAGGGAAAGACATTATTTGAATTAATTTAGGGTTGTTATTCATTTATGTTATTTGTTTCATTTGTAATTGTGCGTATTTATCCTTTTGAAGAAAAAAACCAAAATTCAGTGCTAAGCGTGTAACTTTTATCAGTAGTGAATGTTTTTACTTTTCTCACTGATGATCACAAATCTTCCTCTTCTTTTTTGTCGCAAATTTGCATCTTCTGATTCATTGTAGCTAACAAATTGTGCTAATCATGTACTTTCTTTTTCTTTTTTTCATATAATTGTTTAAATGGAAAAGATGTGAAAATGATCTGCTTTCCTTAAGGTTTATACGATGATACAAATTAAGTCTTCTATCATTACTAGATGTATTCATTGTTCGATTCTTTCGTTTAGAAATTAATGTATGCAGCATCGTTACATATGAATAATGCTGTTGCCTTTTTTTTTTTTTTTTTTGGTAAATCTGCCACTGAAAATTTTAGATTACTGAATTTTCACAAATCAAAAATTATTATTAAACTAAGTTTCCCCATAGAAGATAGCAGAATTTTGGAAAAGTTCATTTATCAAACTTTATAATTTCCTCAAGATTCTCGTTTTTATCATTCCATCAAATGAGGAAAGGGGCGAAATTGTGTTTAAATGTTGAATAGCAAAGGAGATCATAGGCTTGTATTAAATATTTTCATTATCCAGAAACTCTAGTTTCCTTCCTGACGGGTGAGTAAGTTTTGCCATTGAATTCCAATACATGGTTTAGTTTCGGAAATTTTGAAAAAAAAAAGTGATTCTTAATTCATTATAAAATACCGAAACTTCAAAAAAATTGAATGAGTTGAATTTTCCTGTTACTCTTACAGTCCTTTTTCAGTTAAAAGAAGAGGAAGGCAATGTATATTGAAACAATACGTGGTGTTGGTGATGTGAATGTCAATGATTCACTTTGAATTAAAATCATTCTTGTAAAGGGAGGGAAGAAATACGGATAGTTATGAATTGTAAGATTTGTAAAATTTCTTCAATATTTATTTTGCATTTCATTTTTTGATAACTTTCTATTTATCTCTATTATCAATTCATTTTTGATAGAAATCCATTCTTACCTTGCAGTTAATAAGAGGTGTTTTTTTTTCTTTTTGATGACAAAATATAGGATTCGTCCGAGTAATGAATGAAATTGATAATAATAAAGTAACAATAGCATAATAAAAAATGGTTGTGGTAACTATGTTTTGTTGCTGATTGTTATGTTATCTAATAGTGATAACATTAATGCTTGGCGTAAAACAATATTATTGGTGATAGAAGTCCCCTAAATTGAATGAATTACACAGTAGTCTTTTTCTTGAAAAATGAAAAATTATTTGAAATAATTGGAAAAGCTAATAGTGCACTCTGTGATATATCAGAATCATCGTCCTAGCGAACAATGCTATCAATGCAGAAAGTAGGATTCGTCCAAGTAATGAGTGTTATATTGTTAATAATAACTAATCATTTATGATATTTATTATTAACTATTTATGATAATTATTATTTATTATTAATCATTTGTGATAATTATTCTAGTAGTGCACAACTTTTATTTTAACTGATATTCTCATATAATTTATTCATATCCTAATTTATAATTAATGTGGTAAGGGGAGAGAAAACATGGAAGTTTGGTGAAAATATGAGGAAACAAAAATTGATCGAAATTTTTTAACTCTTAAAATCAATTAATAATACACGAATATTCCTAAAATGGTAATTTAATTATTCAATATTAAAATTAAACCTTGGATTGAGTAAATTAATTGATAAGCACTTATGATATGATTTAAATAGCCACATATTTCGCTGTACGTCATTTATCATTTAATATAACTTCAAAATGTCATAAATTAATGAAAGGAAGAGAAATAATGAAAAAAAGTGAAGGGTAAAAGCAATAAATCAATCGTTATCAGACTATTTGCATAAATTTCATTCTTCTATTCAATTATCGTCACCAAGGATACGTATCGTGAATAATTTAATAATATAAATCTTTTATTCTTTTCTGTGGTATAATATTGAGCGGAATAATTAGTATAATCATTAATAATTTGCGTGAAAGACACTTCAAGCATTGTTTCCGTAAGATTTGTTTTCTTTTTTTTTTTTTTTTTCTCTTTCTAATTTCAATTATTCATATCACTCACTTTTTAATCACCTATTTTTTATATTCATCTTATGATACTTCATTCCCGGATTTCTTTCATTTTATTCTGGTTGTCATTCCTTTTCATTTTCACATATTCAATTAGGTTGTTTACATCACTTCCGAATATGTATTGTTGTTTATGAAATGGATACAACTATAGTATTATCGTGAAATGAATATGAAAGAAAAATAACCTAAAAAAAATAGTGTTGTGCTTTTATATTAGTAAAAAAAATTTCCTTGTTTATGATCCAGAAAAAAGGAAGAATGGAGGTATTAAAAATAGTTAATATTTAGATTAATTTTCCACTTTTTTGTCTTTTTTTTCTTAATTCTTGTTATAACTTTTTTTGATCTAGTCATTTCTGATTCTTTAGAGAAAAACGAAAAAAATTTTTTTCTCAAGTAATTTTATCGAATTTTTCGGTAGCATTCGTTTTTCCGAGTTCATAATTTATCATTTTTCATTTTTTCTTACGAATGTTAATATTTGAAAGTTTACTTCTTTAATTTACAAACTTTTACATTCATTTTGCAGTAAGGGAAATGATTAAAATGATGATAGCATATTGAAAATGAAAAGAAAAAAATTATACAATACGAGTTAATTTGTTAAAAATACTTCATTAACTAGCGGTGTTCAATTAATTAGTTAAATATATGAAATAATTATCAGCAATTGATATTTGCTCACTGTGACAGTTTCAAATACTAGAATTGTGATAAAGTTCACGAAAACAAATCATTAATTATTATTCATTCCGTTTCTTTTCATTTTTTCATTTTCCCTTTCTTTACTACAGCATTAAATTTTCAATGCTTCTTTTTAGCTGTAAATTATTTAAAAGATATTAATCAACAACTAATATACTAATTGGTTTGCAAAAATTTTACTTACTTTTAAAAGTAATTTTTTTTTTTTTTTTTAAAAAAAAAAAAAACGAAATACACTACTGATGTAAAAATGATGTATTCTAACTGACTAGCAATTTTAAAAATCATAATCAAAATTTGTTGAAATACCTAATGTCTAATAGAACTATAAAACAACCTTGCTAACATTCATCGTTGTTATTGATGAATGTCAAGAAAATTAAAAACAAACAACTCAAAGAAATAAAATACATTTGTAATCATTATTTCATTAGTCATTTCTATTATTTCATCTGGTGTACATTTTGAACAGAAATTTTTTCCTTCCATTTCACATCATTTTTTAATTAAAATATACGAAAATAATCCAGTCATTGTTTTCATTATTAAAACTATTTCTTCTGGAATTTTAGAAAACATTTTAAATTATTTGTTTGCAACATTTCATTTGTTGAAACTTATTTGAAATGATGTAAATACTTTAAAAATTCCTTTTTCTTCTGTAGTTTTGAATGCTTAGTAATTATTCATGACAAATTAAATAGATATTTTGATTTAAAATATCTAAGAGCTCTTTTTTTTTAAAGAAAAAAAGGGAATAGTTTGAAATATGGCTAAAATGAATAGGAAGAAATGAGAAAATTTATATGAAGAATTTTAAATAATGAGAATTTGAAATGGTTTGATTAAGAGTAACATTAAAAATATAATTTAAAGTTTGAATAGTTATCTTGATTGCATTTTCATATTTGGAGTTTTGGAGAGTTTAAAATGATATCTCTATATTCATTTAAAGAGTATTCATTGCTTACATTTCAATCGGAAATTATTTTTCGCTAAGAATTAGCAAAAAACGATTAAGTAGGATGAAAAAAGAATATTGAAGAGAATGAGCAAAAGAAATTTGTTAGACGAAAGACGAAAATAAATGGATTACTTATACTTATTTATTTATTTACTTACTTAAGTCTTTTACTACTTATGTTTCATTCATTTATTTAATCAATACTTTATTTTGCATTGTTATGCAGACTCAGGTATATGTGAAATACATATTGTGTCCAATCTAGACAATATTCCCAGAAACATGCAGGCCGGAAATCAGTGCATTTCGTTATGGTCATTTTCATCTTCCGTTTTTGCAATTTCCCAGCCTTTGCATTATAATTTCCGGAGCCATCG